GTTACAGTCAGCTGGAAAGAGAAGGTATTGTTGGACACCTTCCCAGCAGAGGATGCCCCAGACTTGTATTCTTCCCCCACTTTGGACAGTCTTTTTAGATGCTTTCCTCCTTCTCCGAAATGCACTGCCATCTGCTCACCCTCTCCCAAAATGTGTGGCTGTTTGTCTGCTGAGGTACAAGCCAGCATGCTTTAAGGTTGCTATTCAGTTCACTTTGGCATTCATATTTTGCAGCCCCAGAAGACAGTACTCCAAACTATCGGTGCCTGACCGCAAAAATATATTTACTTTATTTAAATCTTCAAGCTTTGGGGCAGTACGTATAGAGATGAATGAAACTCCAAACTGATGGGCTTTAAGACTCATCACAGAGCTGCAGGATCCATTTCTAAGTTTCCTTTAGACTATAAAGACTAGTGAGGCCATCATGTTCCAGGGCTGGTTTTTACATTATTTCTGAAGGAAGGTGGTTTTGAGGTTCTAAAATCCCTCTTAGTTCTTCAGAAATTTGAGTGCTCTTAAAAGAACTTTTTGGAGAAAAGAAAACTCATAAATGCAGATTAAGGGGCCTCTCCTCTTGAATTCATGGGCACTCTGCCTCTGGCTGTTGAGAAACACTTCAACATGTATTCTGCCCTCATGTCTGCACAGGATGATTTGGCAGATGCAGTGACGCTGGATGGCCGTTTGATTTACCAGGCTGGAAAGGAGCATGGTCTGAAACCTGTGGTTGGGGAAGTATATGATCAAGGTATATTCTGACTAAACATTTAGATTACTTAATACAAGCTTTTTCTTACGCATTTTTATTGTTTCCATTTTACTTTGGGGTCTTGAAGGCTCTAAACAGTAGGTAATGGTCAGGTTTCCTCTTGGATGTTCCTGCCCATAACGGAATGTGTGTGGGGAACAGGAGAGACAGAGCTGTGGCAGAGTCTGTCCTGAAAGAGTTAGGTCAAAATAGCTCTTCCTGTAATAGGTTTGTGGGGTTGGAGTGTCCCACCACTCTGTTGAGATGAGCTGGACTTGGTTTGCAGCTGGGTCTTGATGTGATCTGGCCAAGGCATCCTCAGAAGCGTCCATTGGGCTCGGTCCGCAGGGACTTGGATCACCTGCAGCAGCCCCCCTCCCCGTTAACCACATCATGACCCTTGTGAGGGAACTGTACTTCAGTTTCTCGAAACCAAATGGGCCTCATGATCCAGAGGCTGGCTGTCTCCATTAGCCAGGTTATAAGCTCAAATCAGAGAAAAGTGAATAAGAATTAATTGTTTCTGATCTAAACACAGTCAGACTGAATGACTTTTTGGTCACTTCAGACCGTAAACTCTTGACTCTATGAGTTATATCAAACTGTAAACCAAAGAGAATGAAATCAGCTGTGGTACTCCAGTTGATGACATCAACTTGCTATGCTGTGTCAAAAGTAAGATCAAATTAGTAGACAATTGGGAAATAAGGGGTTGGGTTTTTTTTTACTATTAATTATATTGTTTTCAATTCAATCTAAATATATTTAGAATCATAGAAAATTTTTTATTGGAAGGAATCTCTGGATGTCTTTCATCCTACTTCCCTTTCAAAGCAGGGTGACTTTCAGAGTTAAAGCAGATTGCTTGTGGCCTTTAAGACATTTCATGCTGAAAAGATAATGGAGGACATTCACGCACCGTCAGCAGGTATCTCACCAAGGATGTGAACAATGTGACTTGCCTGTGGGTAGAGGAGCCACAAGAGGCCACAAATTGGTGTATCTCATTGTAGTGCTGCTGTGAGGCTACTTTGCTTGCTTCTCTTTCTTCCTACGCTGCAGAAATTGGAACTTCCTATTACGCGGTGGCTGTGGTAAGGAAGAGCTCCAGCATCACCATCAACAGCTTGAAGGGTGTCAGTTCATGTCACACAGGCATCAACAGAACTGCAGGCTGGGATGTGCCTGTGGGTTATCTCATTGACAGTGGGCGCCTGGCAGCAATGGGATGTGACTTTCCAAAAGGTAAGAGTTACAGGGCAAAGACCTGTCCTTCAGCAATGCCTTTCCTTATGGTTTTGGGACCCTGTGTGGGGACAGAAATGTATGGCTCTAGCTGCTGTTTTTTCCTTGGCTTTGATGCTCCTTCTAAGATAGAACTGACCTAACGTAGGTCTGATGAAGACTGCAGGGATTTTTTTTAAACTTGGAAACCATCTTTTAAGAACAAAGTGACTTATGCTTTCTAAATGTTTTTAGAGATGTACTGTGTAGATGTGTTTAAAATTAGGTTGTAGGACCTTGTTTATTCATTGCTAAAAATTTCTCATTCTCATTTCATGTTTAGCTGTAAGTGACTATTTCAGTGCAAGCTGCATTCCTGGAGCAAATGGCGTAAGCTACCCCAAATCCCTCTGTCAGCTCTGCAAAGGGGATTCAGCTGGACAGAACAAATGCGTACGAAATTCTCAAGAGCGATACTATGACTACAGTGGGGCTTTTAGGTAAAATTCATGGCACTGTCCATTTTTTTTATCACTATGCTCTAGCCATAGCCATCATGTCCAGGCCTCACTGACAGGAAACTGAAGCCAGAGAACTTCGAGTTGATCTTGTTAGAATATCTGCTATTGTGTTAGGAAAGCCATGCTTTAAACCTAAAGACTGAACAAAAGTAATTCCAAGCCCGCTATTTCAGGTATTAATACCTGAGTATTAAAACCAAATGGATATTTAGTACTTACACTGGGCAGGGAAATCCCACTGCTCTTTGCTTTGTCCAGCAGCTGTTGATGCAAGTCTGAGTGTTTGTCTCAGCAGGCTGTAACTTTCCCAATAAAACCAGATGACTCTTGGAGTCTGAGAGCTGAACTGCCGCCCTACTTAGCTCTTTCAGTCATCCCACCTCAGTTGCACTGAATTATCAAGTTGCTCTGCCCTCCACTTTTGCACACCTATCCTTCCCTTATCTGCCTTCTTCCTGTCTGTGTGCTGTGTTGCAGCTCCCAGTCCCTGCGTGATAGCATTGGCCAAGCAAGGGCAGAATTTGCTCGTGTGAAACACTTGCTCCTCTCTGCGTATTCCCCAAAGGATTGCGCAACTGCCTTAGAGAACTCTCCTGGATAGACAGAGAACTCTCCTGGACAAAGGAGGTCATGGTGTTTGTCCCAGGCAGCACTGAACATGCTGTCCATGTTCACCAAATGACAGTGATAGTTTACTTCATGCTCTAACAGATACTAGTCTCTGCCTTGAGCAAAACTCTCAGCACAAGGAAATAGGTCAGTGTCTGTGGCTGATGGAACGTAGCACACAGCCCTCTGGCTGTCAGCCGGCAGTGACCAGTGCATGGGAGCTGTGCTTTGTAATGCATCTTTGTGCTTGGGTTTATATTTATTAGGTGTTTGGCTGAAGGTGCCGGAGAAGTCGCTTTTGTGAAGCACAGCACAGTGCCTGAAAATACAGATGGTGAGTAGTGCAGGAGCTCGTTGAATAGTGCCTGCACTGTCTGAAGTACGGTGTCTATAATGACAGTGTAATGTCAAATGTTTGATTTATTTTGAATTGAGGAATCAGCAAAAAACGCTTTAATAGCAAAAACAGATGTATGCACCATCAGATAGACAAATCCATGTGATCCTATTTTTTTTTTTTAAAAAAAAAAAAGAGCTTGGTAGTTTCTGTAAAGGTTAAAGGTGGAATCTTAAGCTTCTTCTGGAAGGAAAGCTTAAACAGCACTAAACTGTTTCATACAGACCTGGGCTGTTTCATTGCTCCTGCCTACCCAGGGATTTCAGCAGAGACTACCAGAAAGTTAACAAGATGTGGCCTGCCCTATCTGGCAATCTGTGAAATCTATCTTGAGCATATGTTACTTTAATGTCATGGGCCTGTCTGACTATCATTTACAGGGAAAATAAAAAAATGTTGCATGTGAACCTAGACTTAGGGATGCTCTTCATACTGCTGCCCACCCCAGTACAGTTCAATGCAGGCTTGCAAGTGTTAAGCTGTTTATTGTCGTATCAGAAACATGAGACAAAAGGACCACATCGATGCATGGGATATGTTGTGCTGTCAGGAATAGTTCAAAGATGGTCAGGAGATGTGTGTGATGCTTAGATCAGATGTGGAGCCAGAAGCATCAGCCTCACCTGATGTCTGTTCCATAAGCGTGTTCTGTCTGACTGCAGGAAGAAGTCTTTCTTCGTGGGCCCAGCAGCTTCGCTCCCGCGACTTCCAGCTTCTGTGCCGCGACGGCAACACAGCTGATGTGACAGAGTGGAGAACCTGCCACCTGGCCCGAATCCCAGCTCGTGCCGTGGTTGTGCGGCCTGACACAGACGGGACAGTTGTCTTCCAGCTCCTCAACCAGGGACAAGTAGGACACCATTTTTTCATCAGTGTGTTGCTCTTGAGAGGGCTTCTCTCACCTGGCTATTAGAATTGAAGACAGGATATCTGGGCACCTTCAGCTCCATGGGGTTTGAAGGGGTATGGGTTGTCACACGTCCCAGGTAGAGGGATGTGTGACAGGTGCATTTTTTTTTTCTTTACAGCAAAGATTTAATGGGGTAGACAGCAAGTTTCAGATGTTTGACTCCACAGCCTATGGTGCCCAGAATCTTCTGTTCAAAGACTCCACAACAGAGCTCGTTGCAATCACCACTCAGAATTACGAGGCGTGGCTGGGTGATGAGTATCTTCATGCCATGCAAGCCCTGAGCTGCGACCCCAACAGTAAGTCATCTTTAGATTCCTATTCATAACCATGAACAGAAATAGCCCATCGCAAAGACCATCTTTATTCTGCTTTATATTCTTCTGACTCTTGGAGCATTATGGCAAGATGCCAGTCTAATCTTTCAGCATGGAGAAAGGTCACTTTTTGACCTAGAAACAGTATCACATTGCAGAATACTTTCCTGTGCAACTTGGCCCCCTTTGTGTTACAAGATGCAGGCATTTTCTACCGTTTCTGCTGTATGTGAGACATTAGTCTGGTAAGCTGCTACTGCCACCTGGTACTCCATTTCTTACCTGCTAACAAGGGGAAATAGCAATGTGTTGCTATGTAAATCCTCAGGTAGTCTGTAAAGAATGGATGAATGTGTTCGTAGCAGAGAATTTCTTCTAGAAGCTGAAGAAGCCCTCATCTGCTTGTTATTGAAGTGTTGACCATCTTTTATACTATCAGAAGAATGCAGAAATGACTTGATGTGCATTGTGGCAAAGTCAGAAACACAGGTTGTAAGAATCCCTGCCTTAAGAAGTTTAATAATCATAGCAACTGAGCCTCCCAGATGCGCTCTGTGCTGTGGCAAAGCCCCCCACGTCCTTGACTTGTCTCTTCTGGGGGTTGCTCAGTGACTGTCAGCTCTGAGGAAGCCTGGGTTCAGGGTGGTCTTTTGCTGTGCTTAATGGTCAGCAGTCGTAGGAGTTCCTGTTCCTTTGCTACGGATAGGTTTGCAGCATGGACGTACCACTAATCTGGAGAGGTCTGTGGTTGCTAACCAGGTGTAAGGCTGAGCCAGACAGATGGGGAGAAACACGGAAGTAAACATTTTTAATAACTCCTGTGGTATGTCTGTGGCAGTGGGCAGTGTGTGTCCTTCCTTGTCTATTACAAAGAAAGTGAACTGTAGTACTTGCTTTCCAATTTCGTGCAGTGTTGCCAGAAAGGCTGAACTGGTGTGTTGTATCCACTGAGGAGATCTGGAAATGTGGTGAAATGGGCATTGCCTTTAATAAAAAGAATCTGAAACCAGCAATTCAGTGTGTTTCAGCAAAGTCAAAGGAACAGTGCATGGAGCTGATCCAGGTAGGCTGCTACACTCCTTGTGCAATAAACCAAATTAACACAAGCTGCGCTCTGCTGGGTAGGTAGGATCAGAGATACACGCACTTAGGTG